GTAGGGCTAAATTTGTTTTGATTATATATCAACATGACTATAAAATAAGAACAACAAGAACGACAAGAAAAAATATTATTGCTATTATTTTATAGTCATATTGATAGAAAATATTAATTTTGGAAATTTTTTAATTCTCATTTGCAATTTTTATAAGAATTTTTTTTTCTTTTTCCCGAAATTGTGCAGCCCTACCCTCACCCTTCTGACATTCTGAACCTTTGTTTTCCTTATGTTTTCTTTGTTTTGCAATGAAAGTCAGTGGGGTCCAGTGTTGTTTTGGACACCACACATTTTCATTGTATGGACAAAATCAGTTGAAACACTCTTCAAACTGTCCCTAGAAGAAACAGAGAAGTGCTGTTCAGATGAGCAAAAAGCATGTACATTTGTAAGGAGAGGGAAATTGATAAGGAAATAAAAGGGATGTAAGGATTCTGGCTATTTGGAAACATAAAGTGGGAGGGGGCAGTGGGTGGAGTTTTGAGGTTGGGTAGGAGGAGTCAGACTTGTTTATGAGTCACATATGCATGAGACAGTCGAATATGTCAAAACAAATCTTGAACTTCCTGTTAGAGAACAGCGTGTCCCAGTGGAGGATGGATTGACTTGTTGTCTTCAGTTTTCTGAGAAGGAGGGGAGGGATGGTTTCAAATGAAGACAATGAGCAGTGAGTGTTGTGTGCAAGGAAAGAAAGAAATACAGCCTGGGAACATCTGGAACCTGTTAATGTTTTCCTCGAGAGCTGCCTGCAGGAACTAATAACTGTTCAGCTAATAAGTTGTGTTCACAATGTAGAATAATACTTTTTGTCATTTAGCGATTAATCCATTAATTCACCTAATAGTGTAGTGGTGCTCTCTAAATGTCCGCCCTCATTTCTTTCCACCAACATGTCAACAAGTGTAAGTTGTCTGTTTATTTACCAGCCCTTCATGGGCTGTAGACCCAAGAAAATATGTTTATTTGTGTCTTTATCTCTTTCTTTATCTTAAAACGGTAAGGTTCATGGCCTTGCCCCTGGCTATATGATGTGCTGTTGTTCTTCACTGCCTGTTCCTTCTGATAACCATCGTCTAGTGTGTCATTCAGAGCTCCAGGGACATTGCTTTAGAAACATTCTCATATAAAAGGACAATATAGGCTCAAGACACCTCAAGTATTCATTACAGCCCTAGAATGTTGTGTTTCCTCATCATGTAGATTACTAGAAACCGGTTGAGTTTCTAAGAAGGAACACATCCATCTCTCACAGTTGGTCACACATGTGGTGTTTCTCAAATATTCCTAGAATTTAAAGCCATGCTTTGACTGGTTTCCACCTTATGTAAGCCAGCATGTCTAGTTATGATGCAATACTCTCACTGCCTGGCTGGACCGTGCTTTTGACTTCATGTCATGCCTGTATTTTCCAATGTTTTGAAGCTTGTGTTAGCTCTGGAGATATGATTGGAACGCAGCTCTGGAATTTCATAGTTTGAGTTTGTTTTTCAACGGTGCTTTGTTGTAGGGTTGACCTGATACTGAAATTTGTCTTCCATAAGATTTCTGATTTAGTGATGCACCAAAATGAATTTTTTTCAATAACACCAAAATTAAAATTTTCATTGAGGTAAAAACTGAAAAAAAGGGTTTGGTTAATAAATTGGGTGTTTGAATGCATTATGCTCTTCAGAGTATCTTGTTCTCAGGTGATAAATTAAACCAGTGATAGTCAAGTTCTTAGGCAATGAGATGCCTTTTTATATTTCAGCTGAACAAATTTGACATATTGCTACTCTAGCATTATTTTTGGTCAGGGTAAAGTGAGTCATGTTTCTTAGTGACATGTTTTCCTGTTTTATCTTACAAAATAGACATTGACAATCAAAATGCGCCATTGGAAAAGCGCTAAATGTCACTGTTTCAGTCATTGGTTTGAGCTATTCAATACTATTTAGGCTACGTCCACACGAAGCCAGAGCTTTCCCTATCCGATCTTTTTTTCCCCCTCGTCTCAAGAAATATCTGCGTCCACACGAAACCACAAAACCGACACAAAACGATGTAGTATACATGCCAGACCAGTATGTGGCGCTGTAATTCTGCCACAGAGATACACTAAAAACGGAGAAGAAGACTTGGACTATGCGCATAAACCTTACGCACGGTATACAGATGAACATGGATTAATACATTTATTAATCTGTGCTAATGTTAGTTAATAAAAAGACAATCGTTCAGTGTTTGTTCATGTTTTTGTTGCTGTTACGTGACGTAGCGGTGTCTGACTAGGGGCGAGACGTGGGCTGATGACGTCATCGTTTCAGAAAATATATGGATTCGCTGTCCACACGAAAACGCAAGGGCGGCGTTTTCAGATTTATCCACTCTGGGACCCGGTTTCAAAAAATATCGGTTTCACTCTCCCAAAACGCCAGATCCGTGTGGACGAAATGCCTATACGATACAAAATGTATGCGTATACAGCTAAACGCGTCTCCGTGTGGATGGGGCCTTAGTCTGACCCAAAAATTTGTTGTTATTGTTGTTGAAATTTCGATGCAACAATCTGTTGTCAACTAAATTATTTCAAAATTGCTGAGAGTGGCTGGTTACCTCTCCATGGCTGATTATTCTCTCCATTTATATATCCAGTTATGCTTCCCAGCTACCTAATATGCTAACTAGCTGTAAATGCATAGTAACTAACTTTACATGTCCCGCAGAAGTAGCAGCACATTGTTCTGAGGCACTGAAAGTTTCAAAATGATAGATAAATGGGTATTGTCCAGAGTCCAGTGTTTGGTAACTGAACTTTTTTTTTTTATCCTTGTTTACATGATAAATATAAATGACATTACCACTGCTCTTAAATCATGATATGCATATTGTTATGCAAGAGGCCAAGTGGAATCTCATTTCTTGCCAAGAAGCAAGGAAAAAATTGGCAGGAGGAGATCAGGGCAGCACTTGTTTTTCTTTTCCTGCCCACACTTGGTCAACGGTTCCTTTTGCACCTCTCATCAAATGGCCCATGTGTTTGTTTGTGCATATCATGTTCAGGGCCATTTGGCTTCAGATGAAGTCACAGATGAAGAGGTCAAGTTTAAGAAATGACTGATATGTGATGGCGAAGTTAATGACGTCCTTGAGTTGATCAACCCCTCCACCCAAGCCGGAGCTGCTCCATTTCCTTTCTCCTTCCCATCCCCCATCACTGCCAGCTCAAATTAGCCCGTTATGCAAACAGACTGACAACCAGTGGCAGTGCCCCCTGTAGGCCCTGTACTGCATTGATCCCAGATCCCATAAACGGATCTACAGTGGAACTGGGGAGGTGGGCTTTCCTGGGATCAGATTACAAAGAAAAAGGAGGTATCTGTTTGCAGAATGCAGATCCAGCCAAGTCATGAGTCCATGAGCTGCTCATAAATTTAGATTCAAGTTTACAAAAACAAACACTTTTTTTCCCTTGGGAATAACATGGATTAGGGATGCACCAATATTAAAATTGTGGCTGATACTGATAAGTCAATAATGATTTTTGCTAAACAAGTATTAAGCCTTCAAAAGATATAAAATATTTTATCTAAATGAAAATTAAACACCAAAAACTAAAATCAGTCCTTTTAAATGCTACAGGTGATTTCAGGCGCATCACAACATTGAATTTGAAAATGGATATTAATTTTGAGATTTGCAAGATTATGTTTATCTGTTATTAAATTATTAGTGTTATTATTAATAGTGATGCACCAAAATAAAATTTTACCAAAACACTGAAACCAAATTAAAGTTTTCATTTAACCAAAACCAAAAAGTTTCTGTAATTAAATTTGGGTAACTGAGCTTGTATGTTGTTCAGTGTGTCATGTTCTCAGGTGATACTTTAAACCAGTAAAAACCCAGTAAAACTAGCCACCTCTCGATATTTCAGCCAAGCAAATTTTCCATATTGCTACTCTTAACATAATTTTTAGTCACAGATGTTGCATATCTATGTTGTGTGTAGGAAATAGACACTGATTCGTCTTTGCAGAAGCGCTAATTAAATGTCAATAATTTTGGCTCTCCAAAAGTATTTTGGCCAAAATCAAACTTTTTTTATTTTGTTTTGCTGTTTTGGTCAAAAATTTTTAGTTTGTGAAATTTCAGTGTATCACTAGTTATTAAAGAATAACTTTAAGTGAGTTTTACATGATGGCAAAGGTAACGTAAATGTAAAAATAAGGGGAATTAGCAAAAAAAAAAAAAAAATTTAAATTGATGGTTTAGACCAATAATAGATAATGCTACTAATATACTGCACATCCCTAACATGCACCAACAAATATTAAAAAAATAAATTCACAAGTCAGTTTTTATGTAATTTTGACTTTAAGGATCCTGTCATTTTTAAAACGTTTAAATGTGTAGTAGAGATTTTGAATATTCAGTCATCTTGAATCAATGGGTGAGGTATTGAGATATAGTGAGGAGGAACGAGATGTAATGTGGGCAAATGGAGTGTTGACCTCTATGACCAACTCTTCCCACACACACTCGCCACAGGCAACCACTTATGAGCAGCACATAAAATGGCGAGCTTTCCTTCTTAATGGACCAGTCCATCACAACTGCATTAATGGGCTGCCAACATCAATTCACCGAAAGAATCATAAAACCTTCAGAGACGGTGAAGGAAGCTCTGTAGATTGGTGGCTTGTCTTGTTTACTGTAACAACCAACTTCCTAGAAAAAACCAAGGGCCTCGTGTTTTTTATTTGGCCAGTATTCAGTGTCTAATTCCTTAAGTATTGACACAGCAACCCTAATAGCTGTTATGAGGCTAGTGTGTCTAAACGGTTTCAACAACATGAGGTTTGCATGCCGGGATTTGAAACGTGAGTCGTCTTCACTTATGCACGTGTCTGGATTTCCACAACCACCTGCTTGCTGGAGGATATGGCCGTTGATGGATGTTTGCTGTTATGGGCTGTTTCTGAGTAAAACTATGTCTTGTCTTCTTTTTCTTTCAGGAAACGCCAAGTTCTGTATTTCTGGTTATGGAGGTGAGTATAAAGCATGTATTGGACCCCCCCCCCCCCCCCCCCCCCCCCCCCCCAAAAAAAAAAAAAAAAAAAAAAAAAAAAACTGTTAAAGCATTGACTTGTTGAGTGGAAGAGGTTATTACATTTTTTACTTTATCAGTTACAAAAA